GTCAAAGAGGCAGGGCCGCATGGAGCCCTCCCCTTCCCCGCCTTGCTGCATCTTTCTGATGGAGGCAACAAGGCAGGGGAGAGGGAAGAGACTAGTCCACTATCCTGTCGACTATCCAATGAGCATTTGATTATCAGATAGTCGACTAGTCCTTCAAATTTCTAGAGCAAGGGCAGGCAAGAGATGGGGTGGAGAGGGAGAGGTGGGGCCTGGGTGGAGGAGGGGTTCTCTTGGCCCTTCCGTGGCTGAGGGCAGCTGACATGGCCAGTGGCCCCCCAAGGCCCTATGACCGCCCACCCACAAGTTTGAAAGTGGGCGAGTCGTTTGGGGCATGCTCAGTAGGCTCCCTGTAGCTGGACTCACAAACCCCACTGAATCAAGCAGACAGGTCAGCTCCTCTACTAACCATGTGGCCTGCAGGGCTGGGAGAAACTGCCACTGGAGCCAAAAGCAGCTGATTTCTGCGAGCTCTGAATTACGTTGCAGCAGATTCATGCTGCTATTCACTTCCCAGCAGTGAGGCACAAAGCTCTGTTAGTTACCAACAAAGGGACAGGCAACACTGAGGTTTTTGCTTTTCATTCTGCAATGATCTGCCAGGTGAAGCCAGCAGCAGCCAGGGAAGTTGAGGTTGGATGTTAGGAAAAAACTTCGTAATTGTCAGGGTGGTGAAACACTGGAATAAATTGCCCAGGGAGGTTGTGGAATCCCCGTCACGGAAGATATTAAAGAGCAGGTTGGACCGACCCGTGTCAGGGATGATCTCGACGGTGCTGGGTCCTGCCGTGGGGGCAGAGGACTGGACTGATGATCTCTCAAGGTCCCTTCCAGTTCTAGTGTGCTAAGATGCTATGGCTCAATCCCCAGCGGTTCCTCTCTCTCCATCCAACCCAGGACTGGCTCGAGCCTCCACCTAGAAACCCGGGAAATTCACCCCCACCCCGGGTGCCTCAGAGAGACACTGCTTCCCCATTCCCACGCACAGTGTCTGGGTGTCGAAAAGCAACTTTTAATAAAAGGGGAGAAGTAACTTGGCAGCAATTTGGGAAAACCCCACAAACAGGCTCATAGACGGAGCCGTGTGTAACAGTCCCACCCCAGGCCAGTTGGTGACAGCTGGGCAGCGCCTTTTCCTGCTCAGGTTCTGAAGTCCAGCAACCGAAACGTCCCCTTCACGTGCCCAGCCCTTCCCTGCCCCCACGCGCAGGCCCAGAGCTCAGAGATGCAGCCGCAGAGCTCACGTCCCATCCTGAGCGGGGGAGGCGAAGGGGCAACTCACTCGCCCTGCTGGCTGCTCACTGGGCCCCTGCCCCCTGCTCTCTGCGGCCTCCCTGCAGGCCGCCCATGGTGCCTCTCTGCTGCTCCCCACCATCCACCAGTCCCATCTGCTGCCATCCGCCTCTCGGCTGTGACCCCTGCCCAGCCGTCGCTCTGTCACTGCGCAGGCTGGACGGGAACACGGCCCCGGTTCAAGTGCCATCAGCTCCCCATGACTTAGCTCCCAGCAGGCGGGGTAGAAGAATCCCAGCTCGGCTGCAATTAATCTAACAGTGTTTGTCTACTCTACCACCCTAGTTCGAACTAGGGTGGTTAATGTAGGCAACCGAAGTTGCAAATGAAGCCCTGGATTTGAATTTCCCGGGCTTCATTTGAGGCCCAGACTTTCCAGCCCTGCTGAGTCCTGTCGGCTACACACCAGCGCTTTCCTTGGGAACAGGTGAAGCACGGGCCTGTTTTCCTGTAGTCCCACAATAACTGGACAGAGGTGATGAGAGGGGGGCACAGGAGGGCACCTGCCTCCCCAAACACTAGGCGGGAGGGGCCAGAGTCTCTGTGGATCACGGGGAACTAGCGGGGTGGCCTGGCCCCAGCAGCAAGGGGGCAGCAGAACTCTGGGGAGGAACCCCCCTCCCGCAGGCTGGTGGGAAGCAGAGCGACGTGACTGGGAGCCGGGAGAGCTGCGGGCAGACCGGGGGGGAGGGGGGC